GCACTGCCACTTCAGAACACTGGCCATCTCTACCCACGTGCCCATGCTGCACCCAGCAATGCTGCCCCTTGGTACAACCCAGCAAAGACGGAAAGACATGTGTGTCCTAAGACACACCCAGAAATGGTCAGAGCAGCGTCATCTGTATCAGCCCCAAACTAGAAACGGCTCAAATGCCCATCACAGGTAGAATAGATATGTGAATCCACCATTGTGGGAGTGCCCCTCAGGAATTCACTCAATGGTGAATTCCATTCACCCACTGAAATGCTACCCAGAAATGGAAACATCTGCTCTACAACTCTCCATGGCAGCAGCAATGAACCTTATAAAAATAATGTTGACCCAAAGAAGCATTTAACTAGTGGGGCTTTATGCTAGGCCCAAGGGGTAATAAGATGAGAATGTTCTGGACTCTGGGAGGTATGGCTTCCATGGAAGGAGCTAGAGGTCAGGAGCAGCAAGAGGTCTGCAGACTTGTCTGAAGGGCAGTGTCCGGGGTTTGCTTCCAGGATGGAAGTGGGTACCCATAAAGGACAGGTGACGGACTGGATGTGTGGCAGACACACACAGCAGCCTGTGAGATGAGTCCGCATGTGCCTACCTGAGCCAAATCCAGATAAGGGCACCATGTCTGCAGCCCTTTGTACATGAACTCAATGAGCCAGCCAGTGGTCATCTACCTCTTCCCTGAGACTGTCCCCTCCTCTGCAACCACAATCACAGTCCCTGGAAGTCATTTAAAGATCCCAACAAATCCTATTTTCCAAATTCCCTGCCCATCCCCGGTGCCCCAGCAGGAAGGCAGTGGGAAGTACCCAGTCTACATTCTCCAGATGAGACTGTCGCAATCTCAGGCCAGGCTGCCCGGGCCGCATAGCTGGGAGCACGCTCCTCCTGGTACCAGAGCCCAGGAGGCTGAGCTGAGGACGCCTACATGTGGGGCTCACACTCACGAAGGTACACAGGGACCCAAGGGGATCCCTCGCCGTAGGGCTCTCTGACCTGCCCACTCCCCGAGAGGGTTCAGTGAGGCAGTGAGCCACATGGCAAGTAGGCCGAAGGCAAGGCCACTCCAGAATTCTCCATCCACTGCACAGAAAACCTATGTGGATTCACCCAGCACTGATACTGTTGCCTAAGAACTATTTTAAAAATTAAGAAAGAAGAAATGAAAAGATTACAAAGGACACTGGAATCAAGCAAACCTCTATTTCGTGTGTGCTTTCAACAAACATTCAGTGCATCTCTATTGTGGATCAGCCCACAGCCTTCAATAGGAATTTCCAGAATGAAGAAACTGGCCTTAGGAACTCAGATCAGAGCTGGATCAGAATCCAGGTTGGGCATATGACCTTGAGGCCATATTAGAAAACAGTAGCTTCCGGAGCCAGCCAGTCATTTGGTTCAATCTTCCAGCAAATAAAGGATAGGATGCCTTTCTGTACTACCCAAAATGGGGGCAGAAATTCCTCTGGGGTCTCAAATACTCTAGGAGGGGACCCAGGCCGCACAAACAAGTGAACAGGACAGTGAGTGAAAGGGAATGGTGACCCGGAAGCCACTGCAGCCCACGAAGAATGGGGGACACAGCCTGGAGTCCAAGAGGGCTTCCCAGGAAAGGGGCCCAGGGACCGAGCTTCACTCCTCTGTAAGCTAGGCTTTGAACCATGAGTAAGAGTTTCCTGGGGGAAAGAGAAAAGGAGGGGGCTCCAGGCAGAGGACTTTGCAAGTACAGAGGCAGAGGCCAGGGAGGCTGCGCAGGGAAGCCCCAGGGCAGGGGGTGTGAGTCAGGCTGAAGGAGTGGCCAGGAGGTGGGGTGACCTTTTTATCGCCTCCCCTGGGACCAGCCAAGAGAGCTAGATTTATAGCAGCAGCCCAGGCCTCCAGGTGCACTGGAGCAGCCCGTAAGTCACCAGGCAGCATGATGCCTGCCCTGCTTCTCCTGTCGAGCCTTTTGGGGGCCATCGTGGCCCTTCCTGCCTTGGGACCTGAGATATGTGTAAAGGATCCTGTGCAGCTGTGCCTGGACGTGGGGGCAGCAGCAAAGTGTGGGGCTACGAAGCAATGCCAAAGGGCTTTCTGGAACGCTCCACCTGCCAAGTCTTTGCAGTGCCTCATATGCCAGGACATGGCAACTTTGGTTATGGATACAATGAACCACAATGCCAAGGAGTCTGACAGTAAGGCTTTGCTAATGCAGAGCTGTGAGTGGCTCCCCAACGAGTTGGACTCAGCCGGATGCAAACTGATGGTGAACACCTACCTCTCAGCCATCTTGAACATGCTTCTCGAAGGCAGCACCCCAGCAATGGTGTGCACAGCGCTTAAAATCTGTGAGCCATTGCAGAGACAGTTGGCCAGCCCTGGGCCACTCTCCAAAGAGGACACCTCTGAAGCACTGAGCACAGTCAATCTCAATAGCTTCTCTGACTACCCTGGCCTGAGGCCAGGGCCAGTCCTATGTTCAGACTGTGTCCCGCTAGTCTCCCAGCTCCAGGATGCTGTCTGGAACAATGAGACCTTGACAGAGACAAACATCAATGACCACTGTGAGTCCTTGGTGCCTGCCTTGACCATCCTCTGCAAGAAATACATCCGGCAGCTGTCAGCCCCTGTTGATCAAGTGCTGATGCGTCTTCCACCAGAGAAGGTCTGCCACAGGTGGAGATTATGTAGCAAGAGGGGACCGTCCCACGTGGCTCCTCAGGCTGCTGCAGACGGGGTGCCTCTCCTGGAACTGGGGATGCTGAGGCAGAAGGACGAGATCCTGATGAGCATGAGCCAGACCTGTGATCTGTGCCTGAGGGTGGTCAGGCAACTGAACAAGTGGCTCGTAAGTCACCGTACCCCAGCCAAGATCAGCCAAGCCCTGCAGAACGTGTGTTCAGTAATGCCTTCTTCTATTGCCCTGCACTGCATCACTTTTGTGGAAACCTACAGATCTGCCTTGGTGGAGCTTGTGGCCACAGTCACACCAGAAATGTTCTGCAGCACCATCCATCTGTGCAGCCACTTGAGGCAGACCCGAGAGGTCCACGAGACCTATGAGACCAAGCAGTCTCCTGAGATGAACCGAGGCTACTTCTGCAACGGGTGCAAGAGGCTGCTTGCTGTGTCCTCCCACAATCTAGACCGCAAGAGCACCAAGCAGGATATCCTCATGGCCTTCAAGGGTGGCTGCAGTGTCCTGCCACTGCCCTATATGATACAGTGCAACCGCTTTGTCACCCAGTATGAGCCTGTCCTCATCGAGAGTCTCAAGGACATGATGGAACCTGAAGCTCTGTGCAAGAAGGTGGGGGCCTGCCATGACCCAAAGCCCCTTCTGCTGGGCACCGATCAGTGTGTCATAGGCCCGAGCTTCTGGTGCACAAGCCAGGCAGCTGCTGAGCTGTGCGATGCTGTACAGCACTGCCAGAGCCACGTGTGGAAAACAACACCCCTCCCGGCCGGAGAGCAGGTGTGACCATGGCTGCCAGAGCCCCAGATCCTGTTGGTGCAAGCTGTGTGAGGCTCCTGCACCTCATGCCACAGAGACCTCATGAGGTGGGTGCTGTCCCCATTTCACAGACTAGAAACTGAGGTTCCCAGGAGGGAGACTGGAAAGGAACTGAGCTGAAATGCAAAGTCAGATATTTCTGATCTCGAATAGCTCTGTCTCCACAACTTTGCCCTTGTGAATATCTTTAATGGACTAAAACAAGCCCACATACACCGCCCCCAGGCCAGCCCAAACTTCCCCTCTTCTCCAAGGCTGTGATGCCAATAGCCCAAGGGGACCCTGACAGCAGCCTCAGGTGCCCCTTCCCTCTCTGTGAGCCAGGCTGGGGTCATGGCTGAGGTAAGCAGAGGTGGGAGGCAGAGGGAGGGTTGGAGAGGGGTCATCTCTGTCCCTCTTGAACAGCTGGCGGGGGGGTGTCTCACCCACTGCCACCATTGTTCACTTGGACCAGAGTTTCTCAACCTTGAGGTCCTGGGAGTGGGCCCCAGAGGTGATATACCAGTGTCTCTGGGCTTTGCTGGGTTTTGAAACAGTCCTCCCTATGTCTTGGCCCACAGAAGGGAGGCTCTTACTCCTTGCACCCCAGATTCTCAGCTGCCCTGGTGACAGGTAGAAGGAAAGTCTTGGGGTGTGTTCAAAATCAGGAGGTTAAAAGTGCTGAGCAAGAGCCTCCAAGAATAGCCACAGGGAGTCATAGTGGCCACTGGGGTTTGGGAAGCATCAAGGGCAGTCCAGAGCTGTGAGATGGCAAGCATGGCCCTTTATCTGTCCGAGCCCCACCTTCCTAATCTGTAGAATGGGAATGACTACATATGCCTCATGAGGATGTTGAAACAATCTGAGGGAATGTCCTAGAGCTTCCCTCCTCTCTGACACTAGCAGGCATCAGTTTGCTAGGCCATGAAATCCATGTCAGGAGGCCAGTGGGGTCCCCGGGTGAGTCTGGCTGTGCAAGTGTTGAATAAACCACAAGCATCTTCCAAATGGTATCTGCTGTGTTATTATTTTCACAGAAGACCCTGGTCTCAAATCTGCGACAATAGTCCCCACCTTGCCAGTGCCCCTCCGATAGGAGTGTCTGGAGGCCCTTAGCCTGGCTGGACCCCCACCGTGGTTTTCTCTCACACTGCGTTTTCTCCTTGACACACTGTGAGCCCCAGGGACAGCCACTGGGCCTGATACTTGTTCTGTCCCTGTGCCCAGCCCAGGTCCTGCACATAGTAGGTGCTCACACATTTGTGAGACACACACAAGTCCCTGTGGGTAAAGCCACCATTTCATGTAAGGCCTGGGTCCGTGAAGTCCATTTAGATGAATTCTCCTCTCAAACAAGAGGACTGTCCAGGCCTGGCTGGCAAAGATGTAGGTGGGTGCTCTTTTCCAAAAGGCCACACCTGAGCTCTTAGGTAAATGTCTTGACCCCTGAGCTATCTCCCAGAAACACAGATGTGCTTGGCCTGAGTCTCTGGACTGCTCAGTGCTGGATGTGGCTGGCTGGGCAGGCCTGGCCCACTGGTTAGCCTGTGCGAGGTGAGAACGTAGGCAGGTGGTCACGGCAGCCCACTGGGCCTAGATGTAGCCACAGTAAGGCAGCCTCATATCCAACTCCACAACACAGAAGTCTTGCTGGGCTCGGTGCCTACGGGCATCCCCTAAGGCCCTCCACTGTGAAATAGTCCAGGAGGCCCTCAGCCTGCTTGCCCCTAGGTATCCCTACCCAGCACACCCCCAGCTCCCAGATGGAGCTACAATCCTCCTCTGGCCTGGCTGTGAGTCAAGAGGGGACACTTGCTGACAGAGGTGTATGTGATGTGACCTGAAACTTCCCCCAAGATGCCACTGGCCACTCATGGTTGGTCTGAGTGAGGCTGGAAGGGGCAAGTGCCACATTTCCCAAGGGGCCTATTTCTGTAACCCCTTTGACCCTGAGCCTACCCTCCCCCCACTCAGAGCTACCACAGTGACAGTCAGAGCAGGGTGTCTACAAGCACCCCAAGGCCTGGTGCCAGCTGCTCCCTCCGACCCACTGTCTGAACTCATCGCCCTGTGCTTGTTATCCGTGATGAACACACCATGGTGTACCTGGCAATGACCCACAGGCCCAGCTCCGTAGAAGAGGCCGACTGGGGACTTGAGTCCTGAGCACCTTGCACCCCCAGCACAGGGGCCTGTCCCTTCACTCCTTGTTGGCACCCCCCAGCAGAGCCACGCGGGCCTGAAGCAGGGCCTTCTCACCTCCTGTCCCTCATGCCACCACTGGTCAAGCTCCCATGTGTAGGTGCTCAGCTAACGGCTGTGAGAGGGCAGGTGCCAGCCCAGAAGGGCAGCCGGCCCCACTGGGCTAAAAAGTTTGAGCTGGAAACCAAGATAGACATCAAGTATGGATCTCCAGAAGTGGTGCGCATAGCACCGGGGAGCACTCTGCCTTGAGGGGTTGGGGGCACAGGGGGCTTCCACCTGGGTCTTTCACATGCAGAGATACCTGTGCCTTTAGTGTAAGGTGGAGCCCTGGGATGCTCCAGAAAACCAACAAATGGGGACCCTCATGCTTTCTCATCCAAATCAGGTGTGACAGGCCTTAGGGAAGAGGGGAGAAGGGTCTGGCTGTTTGACTTTGTCTGCTCAATGCTTTTCTTAGAAGTAATATATGGATAGAAAATCTGAACCAGATGCAAATATACCCAAATGGTACTCCCTTCTTTATTTTTGGTAAAGAATTTATATAAACTCAAGGCTCTCCTGGAAGATCTGGAAGAGCAGTCAGTGTGGACAGCCACCTCCAAAAGAGGGAATGTGAGTCCTGAGCCCAGGACGCACCTGACAGACAGGGAAGACTCACGATGCTCTTTCTTTCTCCTCCGTTTACTTTCCCTATGATTTCCAGGGACCAAATTCAAATCCTGTCCCTTTCGATGAGGAACATGCCTGGGTGAGCTTCCCCGCACACCTGAGGGCTGCGTGCCTCAGAGCTCCTAAGTTCTGCCACCTTTACTCATGGACCCTCCCCAGCCACTGTGAGGCAGGCACCATTCTTATTTTATTCCACAGAGGTTGACATTAAGACCAGAGAGATTAGGCAGCTTGCCCATGGCCACCTAGCCACTAGAAGATGGGTCCAGGAGGCAGCAGGTTCCAGGGCCAAGAGGCCCAAGTTGAAGTCCTGACTTCACTACTCTGTGGCCTTGGCCTCAGTTTTCCCACTCCTAAACGAGGTGATCTCCATCTCCCAGGGTCTTCAGCAGGACTGAAGATGCTATGTGGGCAGAGCCCACTGGACAGAATGAAGGAAGGGCTATCACAGCCACATGCTCCTGCCACACAGCTAGCTGTCTTTTTTTCTGTTTCTCTAGCTGAGCTCTTAAAATGTGTTTTCATTGTTGTATGTTTGCAAATCTCCCTCTTAAGATACACTGAGATTTCTAAGTCTTCTACTGCTGATTAACTTTCCCAGAGCACCTGAACCATTCCCTGCTGCTGTCTTCTTAACGTTTTCACATCAAATCCCTTTTTGGTGAGAAAGCCTACAAAACACATCTGGGGACCTCTGCGGAAAGCACAGGCCATGGGAGAGTGCAGAGGCGCCAGGCACCCAGCGTTGCCTCCCTGCCAGCATCTCCATGGGGCAGGGGAAAGATAAAGTGGCTCCTGGGACACCTGTGCTGCCTCAGCCAGGCTACGTCACAGTCTGTGACAGCCAGGCAGTCTCCCACAAGGCTCATGGCATGGGGTGTGCATGTAGGCCAACCACTTCACACAGGCACTCACCCAGACGGCATCTATCCAGGCAATTGTGTGCAAAGTCAAAAGTTAGGGCTGGTCAGTCCCAAGTCTGCCACCCCTGGACAAGCCCTTATATTCCCATTTCTCAGCCTTAGTTTACTGGTCTGTAAAATGATCACAGCAGCCCCATGTACCTACCCAGGAGCACAGTTACAAGGTCGCAATGTAAGTGAATCCTGTGAGTGGACAGGCTTTGTTATGGCCCCTCGGCTCCAGGGGACTAGAGCAGAGGCGGCTTCCTGGGGTCCCTCGGGTCCCCCCCTAGTCTACTCTCATCACAGCAGCCACAGTGACTCTGGCAAACTCAGTCAGATCCTGGTCAGAAGCTTCAGTTAAAGGCAGCCCCCTTGGCGTAAAAGCTGACAGAGATGATAGTCCCCCTGGCAGATCCCACCCTGCCCCTCCCCCCATGACCTGAGCCACCTGCACCCTATCCCACACCCCCAGGGCCCTGCTTGGCCTGAATCTGCTCTTTTGTCCTCCCTGGGGCTCAGGCCACTTGGGAACTTCCCCCGGATATCTTGCCCAGAAGCTCCTTTCTAGCCCCTGCTGGCCACTTTCTATCACCACCCTATGCTTGCCTTTGTCCCTGCAGCCACACTGCTGATTCTCCTTCCTTATCTTATCTGTGGCCTGTTTATGGAATTTAAGCTCCAGGAGTGCACCAATTTTGCCTCTGCCATCCTTGCTGCGTCCCCTTTTCGGAGGTCAGAGTCCAGCACAGAGCAGGCTCCGTGAGTGCTGGACCCCGGCTCTCATGAAGCCATCACCTCCTGCCAAAACCTCTCTCTGGAAGCACTTTGTAGGCAGAAGCCACCATGCCAATACCACCCTGTGGTCAGATATTCCTGAGAAGCCAGAGACGTGGCTGGTTCCTGATGTGGAATAGAAAGCCCATCTCTCAGTAAATGAAATGAATCAGTCCCGCTCAGCTCCAGTGGCCTCCTAGGAGGCACCTGGGAGTCCACTGTACACAAGGGTATCCTCTGGGGCCTGGAGAAGCCCTGGGCAGATGGGCTGCATCTCCAAGACCCACCACTAACCACAGGGCTAAGCTGGGTATAGACAGGGACTTGCTGCCTCCACAAAAAGCCCTGGTAGCAGGCCCTGGGTGAGCATGCCCACTCCCTCTCTCCCCACATCCCAGCCCTCCCACCTCTGCTCCCAAAGGACAGTCACCTGTC